ATACTAACACTTTTTTTTTTTCTTCAAATACTAGATATGTAATTTTTATCTTTTATTGGTTTTGTTTTCTTGTAAACCTTCTAGCATATGGAACTGAGCAGAAAGATTCAGGGATCGGATTATCCAGAAGAGGGCAGCCTCAAACAGAGGAGAAGGTTGAGTAAGTATTTCAGTGCATTGTAGATGCAATTCCATGATTTTTAATTGCAAGAGATACTAATGGTTCTAACAGAATTAAATTAATAGTGATTATTTTTAGTGATTATTTTCAATAGTTTCAGTTAACCAGGGATGGATTTTCAAAAGCACTGGATGGCAGTCTTACAGCTATAAGACAGCTCTCTATAAGGTGTATATATATAATAAAACTGCAGCCAGTGCTGCTTTTCACTGGTATTGGAGCATCTAATACTCTGCCAGTTACAAGTCACATGCACAATACTACACAAAGATATATAGTAATTAAGTTAACTAAAGAAATGTGCATTTTGTGTTTCCAGACTCTTTTGAAAGTGTGCATTCTTTCTTTTATATATTTTTTTTTTCTTTTTTGGAAGCATTAACTATTGCCAAAGATACAGGGCCAGATCACAGAAGTGCTTTGTGGTAAAGCTAACCACAAACGGTCATGATTAAACTTCATGTTTGTTTTGCAAAATCCTTTAATTTTTTTCTCTTTTCTTCCACCATCTTATTTTAATCCCTAGGTCCACTGACATAAAAGGACTTTGGATAGTCCACATTTAGTAAAACACTTCAGTGTTTTCAGGTGAAATATCTGATTAATATCTGATTTAATCTAATGCTTCTCACCTTCATGTAAAGTTATCCAACTTGGAAGTCTTTGAAGTTATGAGCTTTTAAACTAAGACACTTAGTTTAGATACTTAGACTTTTTAAAGCTTCTGTCTAGCTAAAAATCTAAAATTTCATACCTTTTCCAGCTAAAATAATGTTATCCCAGATCCTCCCCTATTAGTTTCCATCTTTTTAAATCAGCTGAAATTGTATTCATATCTCTCAACACTGACTATGCTTCTACTCTTGAGACCTTACTATGCTGCCATGCTGTCCTGTCATCTTAGTTGTTCCTTCAACATGTCGTCTGGTGGCTCCATCTCATTCCCTTCCTCTCCAGTTTCTCCCATCTTTCTATGAACAGTAGCTTTTCTTCGCCTTTTGTGTTTTGTGGTAAGTCCACTTTTGAGTAAACGCAAATAATATATGTTAGCAGATGACTTCCAAATATTTCTTTTTTTCGTGCTACATTTATCCAAGATGAAATCTTGGTATGCATCTTTGACATCTCTGAGAAGGTGTGCTTCATGGCTCAGCACCACTACGTCTGTACTGCATCTATTCATCTCTCCTCTGCAGCATTTCCAATTTTCCTATCGTTCTGTGCAACACAAGTGCTCTATATTTCATTGAAACCCAGAACCTGGGCACCCAGTTCAAATTGTTACCTAAATTCCCAAGCCCTGCACAGATCCTGTATATTTTCTCTCCAGAATACACCGTGAGATGAATTTCCTGTTCTAGCAGCTTGTCACTGAGCACTCACCTCCTCCAAGCACAGTGCAAACGGTCGCTTTGGCAGCAACTGCTTTGTACTCTGTGTTCCTGCTTCTGATAATGGCCAGACTGCACCTCCTGCTCCTCTTGCAGGCAGAGTTTGTGTCACTGGAAGTATCGCCCCGCTGCTTCAGTATTCCCTGCAAGACACTTAGTAAAGGGTTGAATTTTTCTACCTGTGTGGGTTTCTTTCATTACATACCTAAGTGCATGTGGATTCTGTCATTCTGCTTCTACACTCTGTTGCTGGTGTTTAATATTGCAGTAGTACCTAGTGTCCCAGAAAAAAAATCCCATAGATATTTTACACGTTCATTTATTTTCTCTGACAAATAGTATTTGTGACATTTGGATAAGTGATAGAGCCCAACAGGCAGCAGAATTGTTTGGGTTTGTTTGGGCGTTTCAGATGCTGAGAAATTAAATCTTACTGCTGCACCTGTGGAAAGCTCTGAGCTCCGATGAAAGCATTTTTCCATCATACAATAAATTCTTTGATCGACATATATAGACATTTTTCTTAGTGACTGTAACTTTAAAATTACAGAACAATTTGAATAATCATAGTCTTTCTTAACATATGAATGTTTACATGCAGCAATTCAGCGTGTTTTTTTTTTTAAAGTAAAAATTTTCAGCATCAGGCATTAGTGACAGACCAATAAAACTCCTTTATAAAATAACACCTACACGGTAATATTTTATATGAACTTCTGTACACTTAAAAAAAAAAAAAAAAAAGTATTTTGCAATACACCAGCAATGGTATTTTCTCTCCTGCATAGACTTCTGTTGCTATGTAGATGCAATAGTGATGAATTTTTTTTCCCTCATAGTGTAATTCTATTTATAAATATTGAATTTCAGGTGTTCTTAAGTGTGTCTCCCTTCTATGCAAAGAAGCAGTAGATGTTTTCTGTTGTCTCCATTTGATTTCTGTGTTGATATACTTCAAAGAGCAACTAGCCTAGATGTGAAAGGGGAGATAGTGTAACAAACAACATCATGCGAGGTTGTCCGCAGGGGGCTCAATTTTAACTTCTAATGTGTCCTGTGAGCACAAACACTGTCTTATGGTGCAAGGGTTTTGAAAACCTGTCCTCTTGATTAAATTCATGTTTTGGAAAATGAATTAATTTAATTCCGTTTTTTCCATTGTCTTCTTGCCGGGTCGTAAGAAAATCCTCTAATATTTCTAAACTTGATTTACCTTTTGTTAAAATTAGGAGATATGTTTCTTTGCAGTTCCTGTCTAACCAAAGGCAACCCATATTTGTTGTTTTGACACAATCAGGTGCCTGCACAGCCCATCTGTTCCCAGTTTATAAAGATCCATGCTAAAACAATATTAAGAAAAAACGGGGCGGGGAGGGGGGCGAGAAGGGTAAATAATGACTTTGAGTAAGTAGTGATGTGTGACTAATTGAAATTTGTTTTTAATCTTTTATGCAGGTTCATGAAATTGCAGTCCAAAGTTAAAAATTCATTGGCTAGAATTTTGAAAGTGAGAGAGAATCTGAACAGCCTACAGGTTTGATTTACATTGACTTAAGTTTGTTTGTTTAGTTTTTTGTTTAATGTAACTTTAGCATAAGACCCGAAGTAAAACTTAAATATTTTAAAGAAGGTTGTCATTTTTATGGAAATAAAACATATTTAACATGGAAAAACATATGTGACAGGAGATTTTTTTTTAAAAAAAAAAGAGAGAGTGTGGAAGTGCAGAACATAGAAACTTCTTTGAAACCAGAAGAGTTGCTTTTCCAAGTATTTATTTTTTAATTTGCATCTCTGCTCATTTTGTGCACAAGTAAAAACATAGAAAGTATTACCAATTATTATTTGTAATTCCTGCGATGTATGAATTAATACTACATAGATTCTAGTGTCTTTGAAAATTAAATATCCCTTTATACCATTTAATGTCACTGTATCATCATTTAATAGAGTCTATTTAATTCATGCTAAAAGGTAAATAATTTTTCTCTTTTTTTTCCATATTTTATTTCTAAATAAATTTAACACAGAGTTAGTTCCTATATATCAGTATCCTCAGAAATAATTCAATGTTCTCCACGTATTGTATTGATCTATTTTACTTGCAAATGTAGTATGACCAAAAAAAAAAAAAAAAGACTACAGATTTCTAATCTCTTAATTGAAATGTTTTAGTAAACTCAACTGAAAAATCCTTTATATTTCTCACTAAATCAATAATTAATATCTTTAGATATATCATGAATGCTTAGGATTGTCTTCAATATAATCTTAAATGCTCATAGCTTTCCTTTATTACTGACACAGTAAGGTTTGTACATGCTACAAAATCAGGTTTTGGGGGAATTGAGTGTTTATCTGTTTTAACAGGTTATGAATGAAGCACAAATAAGAGGTTTTTAAGTACTTTTTCAAAGGCACAAGAATTCCATTTTCAAAAGTATCATTTTTTTAAAACACTATGCACTGAAGTTGCTTTCACACTAGAGCTTATGCAAAATTCTAAAAGGAAACATTCCTACTTTCAGATATGTTTAGTAAGTTTTAGATGTTTCAAAACCACTTACCTATACAAGAGTTTTAATAATATGTTTAATTATATTTCTTTCCAGGCTTTAGAGGGCAGTAGAGAGCTTGAAAATGTTATCGGTGTCTCCGACTTGTCTTGCATCTTGAGTGCCGAAATGCAGAAAACCCAAGTGCTAAGTAAGGAGGATTTTCAATAATTTTTACTCCTTTACAACAATTTAATAAGGAACATTCCTTTTTTTTCCCTCTCTAGATTTATAATCCACTGCTTGTTATAATGGCGTGTTATATTCCTGGCACCTGATACTCGAGTTGTCTTTGTCAGCACTGTCTGTTATAGATGCACTTTAAATGTCCTTGTGCATCCAACCAAGGACATAACAGGAGGCAACTCCAACTGCCCACTCTTCTAACTAGCCAGGATGCAGAGGAAGAACTCGCAATAGCAACACCTTTTCTGATGTAAATAGTTAGATACTTAGTGGATAGTTAGCTAGTGATTAGAGTAAACGTTAGCACTTTGATTGGGTTTCCTTTCTTCTCTTTCTGCAAGGAAGCTGTTTTGTTTGTTTGCCTGTGAGGAGGATTAGCCTGAATATAGGCTTCCAGGCTTTAAAAATAGCTATTCATGTGTCTTTAAATGATGGACATACCAGATGCTCGTTGTGTTGGCGTAAGGGCACTTTAAAGATGCCACATCTGTAATACTTTTCCAAAGAAACCCAGAAAGCCAAAGATTAACTTATGTGTCCTTGTAGGAAGTTTTTTATCTTGGGACTCATGAATGTTTTGCAGCTAAAAGAGCATTCCCAAACATCTCTGCAACTGGGAAGTTGGGAGGTGTGTGTGTAATGGGGCAGTATTCTAATGTACAAACACTTGCCATTCTTCACTTAGGTATAACAGCAGGAGGGACTGAGAGATTCAGAGGTTCCTGTAAGAAAAAAAAAAAAAAATCCTGATTCAGAGATGAAGGGCACCAAAGAGTTTGGTTGATGTTCAGGCTTTAATGGCTATACCTCAAACAATTTGTTTATTTGTTTTTACAAAAGCAACATCTTTATCCATCCCCAATCTATGCCCCCTCATCCCCCTTGTCTATACTAATAAGGCATGATAATGATATGGGTGTGTGTGTGTGTAAATATATATATATATTTCATCATATTTACCTACGACCACTTCTCAAAGATTTTTCATATGTGATGTTGTATCCAACAGTCTTTCTTCCTGCAGGCTTCTAACACCAGACCCTTGTAGGGGTTAGGACCCAGATCAGAAGTCCTGGACAGGGAAGTACATGCAGTGTCACTGTGTCCACTCCCTGGACAAATGTGTGATAAGGATAAAACAGTTCCCTATTCTTTACCAAATGTGATGTATTGCCAGTAAACATTATTCTACAACCTGTCTGGCTGCTCTGTGTTCTGCAGAGTGCAATAACACTGCAATTAGCAATAGCAGAGCAACACACAGGGTAGTACATACATAGTACATAAATAGTACATGCATACATATTTATGTTATGATTATTATGTTTGAAAACAAGGACCACAGTCAAGCCACAAGCTAGAGGATTTTTCTTCTCCAAGAATGCTGACATATCTAAAGCATGCATTTAGCAGTGGAATGTATTTTTGGACCACCAAGAACAACTGTTGTATAAATTACCATTTCTCTCATGATTTGTGTTCCCGTCATCCAGTTTTCATTTTGCATATGTATACACTGTACTACTTGCTACTGTAATGCATATAACCAGATACTTTCTTACACAAGAGAAAGTTTTCTGAAAACAACCTATATTTATATTACTACCCCACACTACATTAGGGCATTAAGGGGCATTAAGACTGCAAAATCCAGGAGAAGGTTCAAAATGAGATGTCAGACCTATTGTTGACACTATCTATTAAGTCAACGTTTTTTTTTTTCTTTCTTGTTTCCTTCAAAATGGAAGAGAATGGTGTGTTCCCTGGTCTCTGAATTGGGAATGAAGCACCATGTCAGCACAAGAAAAAAAATAGGGGGGGAGAGGGAGATAAAATATGGTATGAGGCTTGTAAACACAGCTACTCCAAATTATTTTCATTTTGCAAATGTCATACATTTTGTGCACAGTACACAGATAGCTTTTTTATTATCCCTAGAGTTAAAACACAAGTGTGTTGACAGTAAGAAAGAAAATATACGTGTTAGTTATTTTTCTTAAAAACTCTATGGTAAAGTTTCTTGACTTTACCTTTGTTTCTTCCCTAGTGAGTCAGGCAGAAGAATTACAGCTGTTGAAAAGAAGCCATGAAAAACTACCTGTCCGAGGTGAGGCATTTTTTATAATTCTTGTGTAACAGGTGCATTGGTAATTTAACTGATGCATTTTTAGCAGTTCTTTCCATTTAAAAAAATGGATAACCCTTATCATGCAAAAATTATAAAAATCAAATGTGTTCCTGCAGATTATGCAGGCTACCCTAAACTTTTACACTCAAATACAAATTTCATCTTTTCAGATGTTTTCATTATGTCAGATATTTCTCCATAAAAGTCTATAATGGAAGAAGTCATGATGGTCCTGCATTAAAGGCATGTTCTAGAAATAAGTGAAATCAAGTCTTAGACATTTTACATGCCCTCTATGTATATCAGTTATCCTTGTTCTTCCTCTTCCTCCTCTCCATCCTGCACTTTCAGTGTGCAAGCCAAGTAACATATTGTCCTTGCAGCAGAACCTTTATCACCTATGTGTTTTGTGAGGTTTTTAGCACACTCTTGGGGACTGTGGAATCCAAACTATTAGCTTTCTTCGTAACTATTGCTGAGAAAATATTTGAGGTTGGTGGCATTTAATATAGTGTGGTCCACATAGCCACGTTAGTCACTTGTTTAACTGAGATGGTGAGGGGGATGGAAAACAAGTTTTCTTATGTATCACACTCATTAAAACCAAAGATCGTTAACCACTTCTGGTATTTCTGTTAGCTTTTGTGCATTCTACCTTAAAATGTGCAAGAGCAGAATCGAAGTTGTGATCTGAACTGTTTTGCCTGCCATAGCTGTCCCAACCAGGAGGATTTTTTTCCATTGTACCTGTTGTACCCATTCTTGCAGTGTATTTCTCTGACTAAAGTCTTTCTTTGGTAGGGAATTTTCTTCTTATAGTGATGAGAAAATAGAGTATTTTCCTTGGCTTCAAGAAGACTATCACAAAATGAGAAGTTGAATTTGGCTCATTTGTGCAATCTACTCTCTTTGCTTGACAGTACAATGTCCATATGTCCTTTAGTTCCAGGGGTCACAGCTCTTATCAGGCAGTGATAATGCTGAGCACCATGGGCCACTCCACATTTGAATAGGCATTGCTTCCTTTGGGTCTGTCCTTAGTGGCCACCAGGATACACATTAATAGCCCCATCTTTGCTCTGGAAACTAGCCCATAATGCTAAACATCTGCCCAACGATCAGCGTTGCTGGATAAGATACTACCTTTGTGAATGTAGGGTAGAAATAGAGCTATGAGCTCAATTTGAAGGCCCAATAAGTTGACCATCTTTAAATTTCACTTTTGATTTGACAAAGAGTAAGGTCCATTTTGCTGTCTTGAAAATATCGAAGTGGTAGAGACATTAAAGGTGTGTCATTTTAAAAAGAATTTGGAGATGTTTTGCTTTGCCTTTTAGTTTTGGATATGTTTTTTCGTAGTTATTTATAATTAGTTATGCTCAGGACTTAAAACCTATGACTCTTCTGTGGCTTGAAACAGATGGAATGTCACATTATCATCACATGGCAAGGCATGAAATTTGCTTTGCATAAACAACCTCTACTTAAAACAACTTAATATCACATGGTGAGGCATGAAATTTGCTTTGCATAAACAACCTCTACTTAAAACAAATTAATACAAAACATTCCTTGCTCAATGGGCAGCTTTATGTAGGACTCAGTATATCATTTTGTGTGACCAGCATAAAAAATGGCATCATTGTTTGTCCATGACTAGAATTTACAGTAAACAAAATATTTTTGAACAGAATGTAAGCAAACTGCAGAGCAGCTGCCAAGAGATGAAATCTAGTCAGTTTGCTACAGTCCAAAATACATTTTATATGTGTTGAGAATAAATGTTTAGGTTGCAATAGGCATAAGTTAAAGGCAAATTTAATAGTTTCCCAGTTTGAAAGAGTGAAGATAGCATTTGAAAAATGAAAGCTACTTAAGCTGGTTATTACAAATTATCTTAATATTTTGTTTCCTAAAAAGAAAAACATTGACATAAATCATGTCCCTGACTGTTTTTTAAGTAGGAAACAATAAGAGAGTGTTTGAGAAGATCAAATACTTGCAGTATTAAGGAAAACTATTTTCAGGCTGTATCCTATAATGAAATTACAAGATACTTTTTTTTTTTTCTGGTTGTTCATCCTGCCAAACCGGAGGGCAAATAGGATTATCCTTGTTAAGTTTACTACCGCCAGCACTGATACAGTTCAGTTCTAAATGTTCATTACTTTCACGTCATTTTAATACCAAACAAGTGACTGTGTGCACTCTTTGCAAGGGCTTTCTGAGAGACGGTATCTCTTAGTGTTAACTAAATGGGTTTTCATTTAACCATATTTGAAATTAATATTGCAAACAAACCGAGAGAGACATGGTCCAAGTAACACCAAGTTCCCACCGGCCTGCCCAGATTTTCTATGCTTTGCAAAGCAGACAGTGAAAATGCTGCCCTCTGTTCTAAAACAACTGCGAAGCATGGCAGCTGTACCTTGTATGCCAGCAGGCAGGAAAATAACTGTTTTTCCTTGCAGGTAGCTTAATCTGCTCCAATTCGTGCAAAAACTCCCCACTAGTATGCCGACAGTCAGCAAAGAAACACCTGCATTAGGCCAAAGGATTCAGCAGCAAATGTACCCGTGAAGCATGTGCATACAGAGGCAACGCTTTTCTCCAAGATATATGTTTCCTTTAGCACTGTACCTGAGATTTAAAATGCAGTTGGATAATCTCTTCCGTTAAAACCTTAAAATCCTCCCAGGCTAAAGGAGAAAGACCTATTATTAAACTTGCACAAAGGGACCGCGGCTGCGGCTGGCCCAGCTCAGGCTCGTTGGGTGGAGGTCAATGGCAGAGATGGAGAAGTATTGTGCAGAGCCACAGCACCAGTGAGACAGAACTAAAACTGGGTTAAGATTACTTCAGTGCTGAACACGTGGCTATACAAGGACGTAGTTAAACACTTTTTTGGCTGTCCCCATGCAGAGACCCTGAGAAATGATTCTACCCTCCTGCATTTAAAATTAAAATAAATAGTGAATTGCCCCCAAGTGTATCTCAAGTATGAGTGCTCTATTCCATTACAAATTGTATCTTGTGAATTTAAAGTGTTGTTCTGGCTAATCTTGACTGTATGTCTTCTGCCATTATATACAAGAAAGCCTTTTCATAGTTTGTAACTATGGAAAGTCCTGCATAGTCTAAAAGAGGTAATAGAAGCCACCTAGTCTGGTGCACAAAAATCACAATTTTCTCGGTACAGCCGAGTAATCTTGTCTATTGAAGGAGTATTCCTCAAAGGCAGGGAGCTGGTCATCAGGTTTCTGCTTGACCCCCAAATAAATATTTCTCCTTTGCTAGCAGGATGTGGGTCTGTTGGGTTGTAGCTGCCCCTTAGAGGTGCATATTTTAAAATACAACCTGAGCTTTGGAAAGTAGCAGGGTCTGAGGTCACGGGCATGGTAAGCTTTTTGGGTAGAAGGGGGCAAATAACAAACCTCTCCCATGATACAACATCCTCTGCTATGTAGATGAAATATTAAGCTATTAACTTGGGTGGCAGATACAGAAATGCACATGAGACATATGACTATAGGCCACCGACGTATATACATATAGAACTGTCAACCTGCATTTTATATGTAGGTGTCAGCCACATTTATTCATGAATTTTGCTCCTGTTTATACTCTGTTTTCCTATGTAACTTTTTACGGACTGAATAACTATTAATTTTTAATTCTAGCAGATCTAGACTTTAGTGTATTAAGCTTAATAAAAAATTAAAAAGAATTGTAGCTCTTTCAACAGCTACATGTAGCAACTTCTACATGAGGATAAATACTGCTTTCTCCCATGAACCTAATTATTTAAAATTCAGATAGAAAAAAAAAGAAACGTTAGTTTGGACTCACTTAGTAGCAATTATATGTTTAAGAGGTGTAAATAACTTGCTATCCAGACATTACAAATATCCAGGTGCTCTGTATGTGCTGATGACAACAAAATTGAAAAGAAAGACTGTAATAATTCTGACTGGTTTTCTCTGCAGAAGATATTGATTATTTGTGTGTGGTGAGAGATTTGGAAAATTCAATTAAAGGAGTTGTGCAAAGGTTTCATAAATTTTCCGTGTACAGCGTGTACACAGACATTGTTGCGTATTAAATCAATGCAGCACTTCACAATATATTTTCTTTGAAACATAAAAATAAATAACATTTAAACAGTTCTGCTTACTACAGAAACAAATTTTATTTTCTGTGAAGCATTTAGTCATGTGCTATCACTGACTCATACACATTTGCCAGCTGTAACAAATTTTATAGACGTTTTCTCCAGAGACATAGCTCATATACTATGAATTTTTAAATGAGCAAATGGTGAAGAAGGGATGTCAGCAATATAAAAATTGATCAGTTAAAAGATAAAAGCATAAGTAAAGAGATTTGTATGGTAGTCTTAATAGGTTTTATTAAATAAAAATACTATAAAAAGACAGTAATGAATAGACTGAAGGTTTTAACTGTGGTTGAGGTGGAGAAAAATTATTCTGGCACATTTAGTAGAAGATTGGTTTTATATCACCTGACAGGTGAACATTTTTTTTCTCCCTGCTTTTTAGATCTGTAAATGTTTTAGAGCAGTCAAACTTGGGGAAAAATGGCAGTGGAAGAAGAAGGGGGAAGGAAACTTGGGAAGCTTCTGCCTTGTTCTGCTTTTGGGGGCCGAGTGGGGACAGGGGCCGAGGGGAAAGGACAGCAAAGCTGCTACCACCCCCTCCCAGCACGGTTGGGTCCTGGGGCTTTGCAGCTGCTCCCTTGCTCTGTGCAGCTCCGCTGCTGTAATGAAGTCAAACGTGATCAAGAGTTCTGCACAGGAAGAGAGAGGAGAAAGGGTTTGGGTGTCTTGGTGTGGTTTGGTTTCAAGCAACTCACTATCCTCATGAGCTCACACACAAAAAAGCCAGTCGAGCTGCTGTGACAGGCATTGGAGGTTCTGTGGGGCAGCTGGGAGGTAAACCATATTCTGCGTTGACTATTGGAATATCCAAATCATAATGCCAGCTGTACAAATATTACTGTGACAGCTTTGTCAAAATGTGCTAGCATGGGGTATGCTTGGAAAGTTCCCACTGGCCTCTGGGCCTGTTCTAAAGTGGAGTCAGTTACTGGTAGCTCGTTAATGATCATTTGTGTAAACTAATTGTGTTTATTTGGTAAAATGTTAGAAACTTTTACCTGAGGCAAAGCTAAAGAAGTGCCTTTTTTTGAAGCAACCATCTGTGACCTGGTTTAGGAGAGAATTTCTGGCTTAGCCTGGCTCGGCTCTGTGTAGTGCCCCAGGCCCCTGTGAGATCCACACGCAGGACTTGGACATCGCGTCACGGATGAGAAGTGTGGGACATCCAGGAAACCACAGCAGGAGAGGAGGACAACCGAGAAAAGGAGAAACTGGGGAGAATCCCCTCTGTGCCTCCACTGCCTTAGATTCCTCCCACCGTGCCGGTTTCCATGCAGCCCATTTCCTTCTAGAGTCTTTCCAGCCTAAAAGCCACTGTGAATATCTGGTTGTTCTCGGTACAATGTAGAACAAATAATTCTGAGTTGTCTCTTACCCTTTTGCAATGGTAGAATTGAAATGAAGCCTGAGCTGTCCGCACGCACCAAGTTCACTGAGATCAGAGCTGATCATCTGCTGCAGAAACCACTCGGAAATCTTGGCACTCAGAGGCACCTGCTTCCAGCCCCTTTCCCCTTATGCTCTCATTCCCCGAGTTCCTTTCTACTCTCACACACGTTTTTTTTCTCCTCCTTCCAGCCATCTGCTCAAACCATCAGCCCTCGCTGCCCTCCTCATGCTGGGGAATGAGCAGCCGGGCTCAGGTAGCTTTGCCTCTTTTGCCATCACCTTGGAGGTCCCAGGGATGGTTGTCCCCTTTATGGTGTCCTTGAGAAAGGTCTTCTGCTACAGACCTTATTGATCTTTATTTACTTGTTTATTACTAGCATCAAAAAAAAGAAGGATCAAAAGGATCAGCTTCTAATACTGGTAACGTGTTATAGTCTGCTTTGTGCTCTTTGGTAACAATTTAGCATATGTGCATGCATTCACAAGCAATTAAGACAACCTCCTAAATCACTGTTGCTCAGCTGAGACATTAACTATATGAAGGGGGTGCTCTTAAACCACTGCAGTAGCTTCTTAAATTCATATTAGTGTGGGATGTGCGCAAATGCTGTATGAACACCACTGTAAATAGCAGTGCTGTGGTCACGAATGCCGTGTCTTCCTCCACAGGGCACGTTCAGACCGCCGGGAGCTCGGAGTTCCTGAGGTCGCTCCTTGAGTGAGGCGCGTGGCCGCCCGCCGCTCTGCGCCTTCTCCGGCTGCCAGGGCCAGGTAGGGCCGTTCGAATAATGAACTTGCTTAAAGCAGCTGGAGACCGAGGCCGTCTGCAGGCCTGTGGTCAGGACTAATAGCTCGATGGGAAAACAGTTGTTACTGTGCATGTGGTATCTCTCACTACTGGCTTGTTAAGCAAAATGACATCTATTGAATTTATAGAAAATCTGTCTCACTCTGAAACATCTGACAGTATTTCTCTGTGTCAACACCGTCAGTTTTTAACTAGATGTTTTTTCAAGAATGGCATTTCAGCTGGAACACATGTAACCAAAGTACGGAAACTTGTGTACTCCAGCAGGGTTTATGAGTACCACGACCGGCCCTCGGATGGTGCTTCCAGGGCCCGGGCGCAGGGCTCTGCCCTCCTGCAAAGCCGCTCTCACCTCCCTGCTAATGCAGAGACAGACAGAGTGCTCTGCGTGCTCCCTGCGCAGCCCCAGAGCAGCGCAGCTGGCCACAGTCCCACCGAGCAGCTTCCTTCCCAAGGGCAGAGGGGGCTGCGGAGCAGGCGTCTGGTTTAAGGGCAGCAGCAGCTTCCGACCACCAGCTTCCCCGGGAGCATCTCGCATTCCGGCTCCATCCATGCACACGCAGCGAGTGCAGCATCTCGGACAGGCTGCGCTTGCTGCCTCTGCGCAGAATCCAAACGCACCGGGAATGCAGAAGCTCTGCGAGGAGCTTCCTGCTCAGGACCGGTGCGGATCAGAAGTCCTGAGCCAGGGAGGGAGCAATCCCACATAACGCACTGAATCGGGCACCGTGGTCTAGTGAGAACAACAAAGGAGTCCTGACTGGATTTGAGCATGAGGCTGCTCAGGCTTAGGGAGCAGGGAGCAAGATGGAGCAGTTTGGGGTTTGGATTGCAGTTAGTTTTTGACTGTCTGGGAATAGAGTATGGGGAAAGCAGGGGGATGGGAGAGGGGTGACATGGAAACCTTGGCCACCCTCGGGTTTCAGTCATAATTTTGGACATAGGCATCTGGAGGCCCACAGATTTGTGCAGGTCTTCTGTTGTTGTAAACTCCTCATTCTATGGACAGTTTAATTCAAACTACTGCATCATCTTACCATTTGCAGAGCGGTAAGCAGGTCCTAACAGACTCCTCAAAATGTGGTTTAAATTCTTCTTCCTTTGGCTACTGCCATGGTTCCAGCATCATAAGAGAAAGCCCAGTTAGACTGACCTTGTCTATCACCAGCTATTACCTGCGCATGAGCAAAGAGGCTGCTCATGTTTCATAAATTCTGGTGAGCCAAATAAGTCTGAGAGCCAAAGACAGAAATACCTGCAGCTTGGAGCAATTCCCTTTACAGCATGAGAACGTTTCTCCCTTTAGAAAGCTGAAGTATCTATATACTTGTAAAATACCTGCAGCTTGGAGCAATTCCCTTCCTTTACAGCATGAGAACGTTTCTCCTTTTAGAAAGCTGAAGTATTCTATATACTTGTGATTTTTGGATCATGAATAAGTATATTTGCAGCCTTTATAAGCTGTACAACTGAATTAGCTCAGGCACATGCATTTTGCATCCCAGTGAAGCTTAAATTTTGTTTTGTAACCATAACACGTAGCAAAAAAAAAAAAAAAAAAAAGCCGAAGCAGGGGGGAAAAGTTTTAATTATTTTAACTGTAGGCTGATGTTACCCTAATACTGACTAGCTTCTTATGTCAGAGGTTTTCTCCTCCTTGTCCCTTACAAGCCAACAAGGCACCATCCCACCCAGCGCCGCCCTCCACGGCGCCTGGAATGTGGGCGCTGGACACCCCGTGCAGGAGAGCAGAGCTCGTGGCCCCTCTTGCAGCTCGGTGTCTGCATTCAGCAACATTCCTGAGTGCTGCAGAATGCGCGGAGTAGCCTTTCCATGGCAAAATAACCAGTAATCTGTTTAACTATAATACTATATATACACGTATCTATAACTTATTCTGGCATATTAGTTTAAGCTACGCTCATGCTGACTGCAACTACAGGGCTTGAGTTTGAGCTAGCTCAGAGCTCCCAAATCATCACTACTATTGGTCAGTGTCCTTAAGAACGGATGGTATTTTCTAGTCAGCAAATACCTAGTTTGCAACTTACTTAAGCCCCCCAAAAGATGCATTTACTGTTTCCTGTTCACCTATACTGAAATGTGACCGACATTGTAAAGCTGCTCATTTTCTTACTGCTAAAAAAAAATGCCTATGAAACAGCTAGAAATCTATTAGCAATTATCCATGCAGCTTTTCAATGAGCAACACACATCCTTATAACAGCTCAAAATGTTAGTGCAGCTTAGGGGAGGTAATCTGTTGTGCATTACCTCAAGGGCTGGAGGGGGGACCACATGTATGTATTTTTTACATAGTGAGGCCAGTATTGGGCAGGTCTGTAATTGTGAACAGATCATATAGATGATTGTCCTGTTGTCTAATTGCTACTTATTTTAGTCATTCCTTATCTCCACACAGGCATCATGTGAAAAATGCATTCCACATCAACCCAAAGTTCTACATCTGCTTGATTGTACTTAAAAGGAGAGAAGAAATGACTGTAAACCTATCTCCCCAGCAAATACCAGTTAGGGACTGCTCACTGCGCTAGGCAGGTGCACATCTAGATAAAATTTCTGGCATCTATTTAAACTTAACAATGTGCACAACCAGATAATCTCAATGTAAATAATACATTTCTTCGTGGTTGCTTTATCCAAGCGTGGTGCTAAATGCTGATTTAGATTTACTGCTGCGTGGAATTAAGCTATTTCTTTTGTAAGCTCCTGCTGCAACTATCTAATACCCGCGGGCTGCGCCAGTTAGAAGGCAGCGCCATAGCCCTGCTCGCCGCCAAGAGCCGGGCAGGCAGAAACGGCGCCAGAGGAGGAGCACGGGCTCCTAGTGCCCACAGGGGTGACGGCCTCGAGGGCAGCCGGTTCCCAGGTGGCAGCACCAGCCCTTAGTGCCCACAGGAGCGACGGCCTCGCGGGCAGGGCTGTCTGTGGGGGAAGAGATTCCACCCAAAAGGCAGCGAAACATCAGTTAAACTAACTGACACCCAGGTCCGCAGCAAACTCCTGGACTCAATAACAGTTGCTATTTAAGTCACGTGTTCCACTTTTAATGCTTAATATAAGGGGAGAATTGATACAAAATGGTTTTTTATCTCTTTTTCATTATCCTCAAAATCCTACTGGAGATCATGTTTCCCAAGTTGCTGAATTAGGTACTGCCCTTCTCCTATTAAATGATGGCAGTTGTCTTTTACACAGAATTGAAATCTTTTCTTGCTACTACTCTAAACTAGCGTTCAATGAACTGATTTTTACCTCTAAAGTTTTGAGAATCAAAATGCTAAATGTGTTCCAGTGTGTGCTTAAATATGCATGTACTCAAGTTTTGAGACTTTTATTAATAAAAATATTTTCCACTTTACATGTGCAGTCTGACAGATGAGATACAATTCCCTTCAGGCAGTATCAGTTATTCTGCTTCTACACTTTCGTTTCAGCTTTGTGTTGCTGCTTTCCGTTACAGACAAGATTCACCACATTATTGCTTTGTGCAATAACAAGATTACTTGAGTAATAGTTTATGTAACCTGATTATAACCTCAGCATTTGACAAATGAATAATTATTGATCCAGAGCCTGTGAATGAATTGCAAACTGCGTGTGCCTTCCTAACCAGTGCAGGAGCTGAAGGTTTTTTGGGTAGTCTTGCAAGGAGAAAACAAACTATTCTGCAGCAAATGACAGTGAAAGGTGAAGAGGGACAAGGAGCTTCAGCAGGATTTATATCATGATAACAGGATCAGAATAACCAGGTTTAGTATTTAATCATTTTTAGGGAAATGGAAATAAGGAGGTTAGAGCGTCTGTGGCGAACACTGCCTACCCGCCTGCACTGCTATTTCAGCCCTTTCTGGTTCTTTGACCTCTCGCTGTACTGGCTTTTGCCTTTCAGAAACAGCTGGCTCTGTTAAGAACCATTTCCCAGTTCCACACAAGGTGGATCATATGGCTCTCACTTTATCACCCTTGGAGGCCATCTCAAGGACAAAGAAAAGAGATCCACTCAAAACTAATGTTTTTGTATGGCTAGGAAGCACTCTGAACTGATCTTGTGACAAACAGCTAATCAAAATGTGAAGCTCTTCTTCCTTCCACTTTATTTCATCTCAAGTAGAGGTTCTTCAAGCCGTCTTTGCGTTGAGCAGTATTTTCACCACGCTGTGTTTGCATGGAATGCTGCACATTTTAATTGCCAGAGCCTCTTCAGACAAAGATTCCTGTTTCTATGCCCTGACATACATAAATGCCCACTCAGCCTGGGCCTTCTAAAAAGAAAGAACGTATTGTGGACAGAGAATCTTGCATGCCGCAATTATAGTCACACCCTCAGAAAAACTCTACATGCTTGTGAAAATATTTAAGTTTTGTTGCTTTACAAAAAAACAGGACAGAGGAGGGAAGCTGCATTCCCCAAACATAAACTCCAGGTAGCATTTGGGAATGCCCTTCCCCTGCTCCTAGCTGGCATGGTCACAAGGGTGCCTCTGCCTACTCCTTCCACAACTGAAGCTGGAAAACGGGAAGGGAGAGGGGTGCATCCTGCAGAGAGCTGCTCAGCGCCCTCCTCCCTCACCCCGTGCAAGTTTGCAGAGCAGCTGATTCGCACCCGCGGTGACACCGCACCGTGACAGCCCCACAAAGTGCTCATGTCAGTGACAGGCTGGGATTCTGCAGAGAGCAACGAGGTCAGGGAATAAGTCCTTAAACAGCGACGGCTCATTTTGTTCGGCTTTTTAATACATAGCCTATTTTTCCCCATTCTGCTGACAGCTATTCCTAATTACACCACCATGAATTGGGATCTCTTTTCTTGCTGCATGAGTTGTGTTCTCTGAACTACTGGTACCATTGATGGAGAGGGAAAAATTGAATAGTTGGTGACAATTTAGCCTGCAATTTGATTTATGGTTTTTTGTTTGTTTGGTTTTTGAAAGAGCCACATGTTGCTTTCTGTTATGATGCGTTTATTTCAGTTTTTATTTTTTAGCTTTTAGTTTAGTACAACTAAGTTATTTTGGATAAACTTTTTTTTCTTTTTTTTTTTTTTGGTCTGGCTCCCAGCTAACATGCAAAACCAACGTACTTTTCTTGCTACACTAACACTAATATCTAACTCTGCTGAAATACCTCAACTTCACTGTTACTCTCTATGGAGTAGCTGTTAAAAACAGCAATAGGCTTTTCTAGTTTTGTTAGGAACAACTCTTGAGCCTAATGTAAGACTAATATATGTTAAGACCACATCATATCTGCTGATCTGCAGGAAAGGAAAAGTGTGCTCCAACCCTCTACGTAACACAAGGACCTTTCCCTTCTCAAAGGCTAGACAGATCCCAACTTCCAGGCTTTTCTAGGGCTTATGTTATTCTTCAGCCTTCTGCAAGTATTGGTACTGTAGAGAATAACCCATTTTAACATAAAAATAACTTTCATATCAACTTGGACAGAAGCCTGAGATGAAGCTGCTCCAGAATGATGGTCCTTACAGGCTGCAGAACTCAAGTCCGTCTCATGGCTGGCTGGACAGATCTCCTACCCGTGATCTTGACCGTTAGGTCCTCTTCCCTACAGCACCAAGTTGGAGAAACAACTGCTCATTTAGACCAAAACCTCAAAAGAGCCACTCCAACTGCTACACAGCCCTGTCAGGAGCTTTGATAGCGCAGTGCGTTATAGGAAAGAATGAGAGAGGACAGAGACAGAACATACAAGACAATTTATGCCATAAAACAACCTCTCGAGAGAACTTGGAGTTTACAGTCAAGAGTCATTATTTAAACTACTTCAAATTGCTTATACCTTTTACACTGGGGAATGTGTAAACTTAATGCTAGCAAAACAATATGCTGTTTTGCTAAAATATCCTAGCTGATTTACTGTAAGTTCAAAATTTGGTCCTTCATTAGAAATTTTAGGCAAGTATTACAATTCTGAAGAAAACTCACCAAATACAATTTCCAATGCTCCGTGAAATATCTTCAAAACAGTCTTTAATCATTTCACGTTTAAGTGTGCGTAATGTGTTTCCTGATTTTCCTTAGAGCACTCAAATTGTGTTACATCAAACAGTTGATCTGCAACACCAGACACGATCCACTGAAAACGTCCTATCCATTTAGTTTACTCCTTGATCTTCACAAGTCAACTCATTTTCTTCTGACTTCTACTACTTTTTGAGTCCCAGAGTATAACAATGTTAAAATACAGCAAAAAGAATAAGAAGTGTAAGCAGGAAATAATGGACACGGCGAGGGGGAACAAATCTGGTAACCGCTGGGGAGGAGTCATCGCAGCACTCAGTAAAGTCAGGATGGCCATCACCGTTACTGAAAGCAGAAACTGCAAGATAAAGAAAGATGGTGATTTAACAACGCCAGAGCAAGCAGTTATTTTCATTGCTTGCAGCCCTGTATTCTTAATTCTGTAGCAAGATGACACAAAAAATATTACAGCCTCCCTCTACACTGAGGGAACATGGCTTTGCCCTTATGAGGCCTTATACAAAATTATGGATGCTACACTGGTTCATATGTGTATTTTAGTACTACGAAGAGTTACAAGTAAGAGCTATGAAGAATTCAAGTTACTTACCAGCTTCTTAACAATCTTTGGAAATGACTTAAACCAAGAAACATATCCTTTAATAGAAAGGGAGAACGATTTCAGCTGCAAGTCCTCTGCTGAAGTCTTGTCGAATATGGAAAAGGACGTGACACAAGCGGACAGAAACGCCAGGGTTGTCACCGTGTAGGCGAACAGGAGCCCATCTTTCAGGAGCAGGGGCAACATGCTGGTAAAACAGAATTGCCCACAGGAGTGAGTTGACACTCCAAGCTGTATTTCAAAGAATTTAAAGAGAGGAGAAAAAGAACCCATTTGTACTGACTAGACTCAGGGGAGAATGCTATTGTGGAAGAAATGTGACTCACCTGAAGGTTGATACAAGTAAAAACCACGTGGCCATAAAAGGAATTTCATTTATGATTAAGCAGACCGGTCTGAAACAAAAACAGTAAGATAACAGTCGAGCTCCGCAGCGACAGCACTTTGTTATCCCAACCTTTCCCATGGCTGCTGCAGTATCCCCGGAACCAGCAGACCCACGAGTCCAACCCGCGCAGCCGGGACGCGCCGCACCGCCACCCGCATCCAGCAGACCCTGCCGCTGCACAGGCAGCAGAAACCAGCACGGCCGCTCCTGCCAGGTCCAACA